TTTGCTCAAGCATCTTAAATTATTAATGTAATTAATTCATCAAAACTAGGAATTTGGGTCTCTAAAATGGGTCATAATAAAATATTGAATGTAAAAATTATTTTTGTAAAAATAATATTACTTATTAATTTTTTAAAGAATTTTATGTTGGGTGAAAACAAAATCTGGTGTTTTGTTTTTATTGTTTATTGAAATAGTTAAGTAAAAGATGAATGAAACAAACTTTCTTGACTTAACATTTATCGTAGTAGTTAACAGTTAACATATTTATTAACGGTGTCAATGGGAATTTTTATTAACAAATTTTGGCCATTTTAAAAATGCTTCTAATTACATTATAATATATTTTAGACAAAACGTTTTCAGATAAAAGTTGTAGATAATCACATCCCTAATGAGTTTGTGTGTTCTCCGTTTTTTTTTCTAAAACCTCAATATTTTTGATATATGACACAAACATATGTTTTTTTTTAATGGAAACCATAGTTGGCCATGGCTTCATAAAGAGCGCCATTTTTTAAGCTTTTCAGCGATACCTATAAGCTATAATATGATTTTTGCGAAAAATTACTGAGTTATTGTAAATTGTTATCTTTTTTAAACAGTTTCACTTAGTTAGTCATGGAAACAAGTTCAATTGTTGTTGCCTTTCAGAGATGTCAAACTCTCACATCAAAAGAAATAGTGTATTGTTTTATTAGGAGTAAAAATGGCACTTTTAGTGGCTAGGCTGTACGTTTGACATATAGGCAAGGCACAAAATATTATTTTAGTCCAAATAGAACTTGCTATTTTTTTTCAAGTGTCACAAATCATTTTCTAAACAATTTCAAACTTTCCAAATAATATAAAAATATTTAAAAATAACACCTTGTATGTGTACTATATCGAGAAACTATGGTTTACAGGATCGCTGAATTTGACACTTTGTGTCAGTTTCTAGTATATTTTTTACAGGGGTGGGAGAAAGTGGAAATAGCAAAGCTTGCTTTCCACCGTTTTCACGGAATGACTCTCAGATAAGAAATAGTTCAAAACTAGCCACTAGGTGGTAGTGCAATTAATTTTTCGGTCAGGTTAAAGAAGTTGCTGTTTTGGTTGTTACTCTGCGATGGTTAAACCAAGAATTTTTTGTAGTTTCCACTTGGTTTCCAAGAGCCATTGTAGAGGCGGTGTGGGAGAATTCTCAAAATATTGTGATTGTCACTAGCACCAATCATATTATTATCAAATAAATGATTATCAAGGCGTGTTTTCAAACTATAGTTTGTTATATGTGTTTTAATTAGACAATTCCAACTTTTGTTTGTGGCCCCCAAAATATAATGTAAGTCTGATTATATTTGCCATCATTTTCTTGTTACCTATTATTTTACTCCATTTACAGAAACTTTGGGCGTATTACGTTGGTCTTGTTTTATTATAACCAAACTTGATGCTTAAATATTTGACTTATAAATAAGAACTTTAAATAATAAATAATATTTCACATGTTTGGATTTAATTTTATTTAATAATTGTATAAATTATACTGTTAAATCTTATTTTTACACATCACAACAATACTTGTTGTTAGTATTGTTGAATTTGTAATAAAAAATAAGATTTAATAATCAAATTTAATTATTTTAGAGTAAAATTCAACAAAAACGCTCATTTAAAAAGCCCGCGCTTCGATCCATTTAAGACAAGCCCTACTCAATAGATGGCGCCACTTCTGTAGGACCATTTTTCAGTATGGCAGAGTCCATTCTTTTTCTAGCTAGGTATATTCTTTGACATTTTAGTACTTTTGTGTTTAGGCTTGGCTTAGGCGTAAAAATGCTTTACTTTTGTGCCTAGGCGCTAAAATGACGTTTATATATTGCCAATCAAGTCGCAAAAATTAAGACTTTTGTGACGTTTGAGGTCAACCAATTCCATGGGCCTCTTCGGTCAAATGAACTATCTGTTTTAGTTTTTTTTCTGCGGTATGGTTGACAACAATGTAAACAAGAACATTTGTTAAAATAACTTAAAGTGTATGTAGTGATTGTAGTGATATTAGTTTCTTGTTTTAACTTGTTTAATATAAATTGTAAAGAGCAGTTTAGAAAAATTTTCTGTCTCTTTATAACTTACAAATCATAATAGCAAAAGAATGCCATGTCAACTAAGTGAAATAAGTCAAAAAAGATAAGAATTGGCTATAACTCTAACTAAAACTTTTCGAAAAAAACATATTGTAGCTTATAACTCTGGAAATAATATCTCTTTAATAATGGCGCTTTAAATTTTTTGTCTCTTGTAAAAAAACGCCACATCACATAGTTTTTGAGAAAAAAATTTTTGGAGAATTTATTTTTCCCAATCAGACCTACAAAATATGCAGGGAGTTCCAATATTCCGTGAGCATAGAACAACTACGTATTTTTGAATAATATACCTAATTGCACATAATTTACCTTTATACAAAAGTGCTTCGTTTGTCCGTTAGAGGGCATCAATAAAAAACAAACACGAACGTTAATTAATTTAAAATTTAATCATTTTTTAAGCTCTTTATGAAGATTATTCTCAAATTATTTGTAATACTAATATAAAATTCCATATTTTCACCAACTAGATTATTGAAGAATGGTAGATTTTACGGGCCTCTACAGCTTGATGATTCAAAAACATTAAAGTCAGTTTTAGAAAAGTAATTTTTTTCTTCGCAAAGTATGCGCGGTAGCGATTTTTTACAAGAGCCAAAAAATGTAGCAAATACTAGAAGGATCATTTTAGGCAAAACAAAATCGGTCGGCGGATGAATTGGAAAATATTTATACTAAAATTTATGTAGGGGTGGGGGCAGTTTTTACCCTCCCGTATTTTTTATTGATTTTTGTGAAAGTCAAATGTTAAAGTACCCAAGCCAAGTTACTATCCCAAAATATTTGAAGGAATGTGTTTATTATTTTATAGAGAGAGATGCCCTCTAACGGACAAATAAAGCACTTTTGTATAAAGGTAAATTGTGTTAAATAAACTTATTTTGATTACAAAAATACGTGGTAGTTCTATGTCCACGGAAAATTGGGACACCCTGTATATTTGACCTCAAAAAACTGCAATTCTTTCTCCATTTAACCGATTCTCTAGCTCCAGTAATTTTCGAGATACGCATCGTAGGGAACTGTATAAAAGCCTGTATTAAAATAATATTGTGACAAGTACAATAAAGTTTAGTTTATATAATTCCAGTTTACGTTAATTATGAACAACTATTGTATCTCGCCTCTTAAATTTTTATTGGACTAATTGACTTTATTAACTCTTCGCAAGTTTACTTTTAACTTTGTCGATTCATATTCAAGAAAGATAATTTTATCAGCCAGTTTATTAAGAAAGATTTTCTTTTCATTTCCAATTAAGCCCTTTTTGTTCTTCCTCGCTCCTTCATTTTCAGTTGTCGATCTCGACTAATTTGCCCGTGAAGAAATTTAAACAAAATTATTTTTTGATGTTTCAATATTATTTTAAGAGGAAAGTTTTTGTATATTCTGTGTATTTTCGCAACCAATTTAAATTTATTAGTTACATAGTCATCATAATTTAGTTTAATAAAATGGTTAAAAGTTAAATTGCTGAGCAGTCAAGAATAATTTTTCTAATATATTTTGTAATTCTAATATATTCCAATATAACCGTATTCAAAATTATTTTGTATTATTTGAAAATTGTGTCTGGTGTTGTTACTTTATCGGGACATTCTAGAAATTATATGTAGAATATTTTATGATTGTACAGGATTCGTCAAAGAAATCAGCAGAGGAGGACTATGTTTAAATTTAGTTTTAGCGTTGATTGTATTCGTGAACCTAATGGGCGAATTCGACAGGGCTGATTGAATTTCCCCTTAAAAGTCTCAAGTGCTGTACAGTGGCGCCACTACTTGTCCTGCGACCAACGAATAAAACAGTAATTTTCTCTAATTCGGCTAGCAAAGGCATATTGAAGGGGGTGTGGAACTGAAAGCGTCAGTGTTACCATATTAAAATATGTAATATTTGGAAAACATTTGACGAAAATATCTTTGGATGAAAAATCCGCGTTTATGTATTGAAAATTTATTCGTGTTAAACATAGAATCAACAACAAAAATAAAAAAAATATAGGTACCGTAAAATGGGGTGAATAGAAACAGTTTCGTAGGCTATTAGCGATATACCGGTTGATAAAAATGTGGTATTATTTTCCCGAATATTTTAAAACATGGGTCTTTGTTTGTTCTTTGCGTATACATATAATTTGATTTTTGAAAAATATGCATATAAATCTTAAATAAAAATAACATTTGTGTTTCTATTCACCTGCTATTGGGGAGAATAGAAACACACATTGATGTTAATGTTTTTATCTATTCTACTTCCAACAAGGTGATTAGAAACAGTAAATTATTACATATTTAAGTAGGTTTAACAATAAATAACAATACATATAATATGACAACTTACATGCGCTGTAAACGGCTATCAGCACGCAGCAGTGCAGAGCTAAACTAAATCTAGACAGGTTGACTAGCGGCGACGGTATTGCCAGCTACATCACAGACATGATTTATGCCACGAAATCGCTCATACGTTTGCGCATCTTCTTATTTCTTCAATCAACGGATATTCAATTCGGTGAGCATAAAATTTCCCGAATGTTGTTGCAAAAGCGGCGTTGCCAAGAAAAGGATATATTCCCTAATTTACGGAATTTATGTAAGTTTGAAATAGTATAGTGGAGTAAAATATCATGAAAATTATACTTAGGTATTAGAGCTGTATGAATAATAAAACTACCGTATGATCGAAAGAAAATACGGCGTCCAATTGGCTTAGAAATGACCACCGATGACATTCCTCATATATTTTTCCATATAAAATGACAGCGATCTTCATTTCATAGCCATCCCTGACGCCGGTTTTTTTCCGCATCCCGTTTTTTTTCCGCATCATATTGTATTTTAATGAGAAATTTTCGCAACTTACCTCGTATCGGCTGTTACAGTAGAATGTGAATCTCTTCTAATTCTACTATCTTGTGCTCCATTTATAGATGCCCTTGATTCGTAGAATACAACTGCAGGTGCGTTGTGGTAGGCCAACTCTCGTGATGCGCATACAAAGAAGTACGAAATGGCAGCCAGAGGCCCAGCGTAACTAAAAACAAAATTGACTAGTTTATTAGAATTGATGACTAAAACCAAACTATGCGTTTTCTTTTAAGATATTCATAAACGCAAAATTTATACAGTTATTTACAGTATGATAAAGTAAATATTACAATAATTATTATGACCAGTAGTAATTGAAGTATGTATTATACAATTCTATCAGGTATATATGTAGGGTCAGACAAATGATTAGAAATTGAACAAGAATAAAAACAAAATTATATTAAGAATACATGAGAATAAATATTAAAATAAAAATATGGAATAGAATAAATAATATAGAAATAGAAGTAATATAAGATATATAGTCTGTCCAACGAGAAGATCCTTGACAGTGATAGATGTGTCTGTCATTTAATTTCAAAGTAGTTTATTTTATTTTACAAAGAAATAAGTTGGTACAACTGGAACGCATAGCAGGAAATATTTAAAATTTGATTGACAAGATGACAAGTGATTACTTCAAAATATTGTGAAAAAAACTGTATAAAACTGAAAAAAATGTAATCGAGTTATTTTATTTAATAAAAACGGTATGTGTGAATACAAAACAAACAAGAACAAGACAATACATACCAAAAAAATATAAAAAGAACTATTTTTTACTTTCAAGCTTTATGAAACTACCCGCATTTATGATTATATTTATCAATAAACTTATTAACAAATACAAATTTGTAATATTCACAGGAATAAATAAAACAACATAGGTAAATAAAACAAACTATTTTATTAATAATAACACCTACCAAATTTTATACCTTAAAGGTTGATTAATTAACTTTAATCTTAAATTTTTTTTAAACCAGTATGCGAAAAACATTCTTTTTCTGCAGTACTAAAATCCATTATTTACCTATCGTGTGATGTCGATATTTTACAGCTACTCCAGTTTTTTAGTATGTGTTTAGTTTAAATCCTTCTACCATATACGAGATGCACTTATCTACGACGAAATGGTATACAACATAGACTTAGAATAAAATATAGACGTCACTATTTACGGCAGAAAGCGCGGTCCAATATTAATTTTTGTAAACATGTTTTACTCCTGGGTGCAGCTGACCTCGGCCGTCTGAGTCTTTCGCCTCCAGCGAATGTTGTGCGTCTAAAATATTATTAATATTTTTTGTTGTTTTTACATATATTGAGATATTAAAACTGTATTTTAATAAAGTAGTGTTTAATAGTAGAAAGATGTATTAAATAGTCCCTATACTACTAAATTATAAGTCGGAGACTATTTAAAAATGACAAATTCTTTACAATTTGGCAGCACCCATCAATCGCCGGGTCGCCTGTTCATTCTTTATTCTCTCGTAGTAGAGCCATAGTAGAGTAAAAGCACGTGTCGTAAAACCTTGTTGTCACAGCTTTCTCCATGGCTATTTTATTGTTTTATTGATGTTTTGATTTTGTATTTTTTTGGATTCGATTTTCTTGGTGTGTAGTGTCGGTTTATGTTGTTTATTTTTGATTACTTTTTATTTAAAAACTATAAACATGGTTCGTCAGTGCCAAATTTGTAGAGATGGACTATTTTAAGTCCTGGAACAACATTCCACAAGTAAGCCTCAAATTTACTATTTTGGCGTCAGTGGCGTTGTAGAAAGGCGCTTATTTAGATAATAATTTAGTAAATTATAAACCCTGGAAAATCTGTTTTTTTTATATTTATCACCTTTTACGTAAAGGTTCTTTTAACCTCGTTATCTAATATAACAGTAGATACGATTATTATTAAGTACATAAGAAGTAGACAACATATTTTTTCTTGGGCATTGGTTAATTTAATGCTTTTTTATGAAAAATGTGTTTTTTTTTTTTATTCTAAAATTAGGTTGTAATGTTTGACTAAAATTAATAATAATTTATCTCTAAAATAACATACAGGAATTCAGAATGATATTCCATTATGTGAAACAACAATTTTTAGGCTTATTATAAACTATAAACAATCGAGAAAAGTCGAAAAAATTACAAGCTACCAAACATTTTAAAATACCAAACATTCCTTATTTTTCAAGACTAAATATTTTACAAACATTACTTTTTACCTATAGTTTCACATCAGGTATAGAAATAACTACGTTTTATGATAGGGTCACCATTATGATAACAGAAATGACGAACAATGGTCCAGAAATGTAAACAAGTACATATTTTCGTGTAAATATTTTTCTTACCGCTTGCATTTTGTCCATTATTATTTCACAAATTATACAGGGTTATGTAAACCAGGTAGATATTTCGTTTTTTATATTAAACAAAGATAAAATAAATATGCCATTTTCTCTCTTTATTTCTTCAATCAACGGGATATTCTCTCTTCGGTGAGCATAAAATTTTTAACAAGTTGTTGCAAAAAGCGGCGTTGTTAAGAAAAGGAAATATTCCCCAATTTACGGAATTTATGTAAGTGCCTAATAGTATAGTGGAGTAAAACGGCGTCCAGTTGGCTTGGAAAAAACCATCGATACATACTCCATATAATTTTACATATAAAATGACAGCGATCTTCATTTCATAGCCATCGCTGACGCCGTTTTTTTCGATTATAAGGTATAATTTTCATTTTTTCTTTTATAATGTAATATCACTTAAGTAATATCACATATAATCTGAAGATAGTTTTAGAATTAACCAAAACGTAAATCTTTAATAAAACAATCTGTTATTATTTGCCATATTATGTATGTATCAAGAAAATAATTTACATATTATTATTATATGTTTTACTGTTTTTATCTTTATTTGAAACTCAGAAATGTTGCATTGGCTTTAAAAAAATGAACTTGTAAGTTTTTAAAATGCTTCGTTTCAGGAGATACAGGGTATCAAGTTTCATTTGTTATTTCGATTTTTTTCAAATAATTTCTGAAGTGACGTCAATATTTGGACGAAAATTGGCGTTTGGGAAGTTTTTGACATTTCATTTTCTTTTCTCCATCGGTGCACGCTCTTTTCCATTCAAGTTTTAATGGTCGAAAAACTGTTACGTCCTCGATGGTTGTAGAATATGTAAGTTGCATTTGGACAAAGAGCTATAAGTCAATTTGACTTTTACTAATAGGGGCGCCACCTACATATTTTTTTAAAGTTATTTGAAGAGTAATACTTTTTGTCTGTATCTATATAAAACTACTGAGAAAAATTTACATTTCAACGTTTTTTACTTAATAAGGTCATCTTGTTGACACTCGCCACAAGTATAGTTCTCAAGATATTTAGAAACGAATTAATCAATATGTATTCTTCATAAATTATTTGGAAAAAAAGCGAAATAAAAATGAAATTTCTACACTCTGTATCTCTGAAACGAAGCATTTTAGGACATAAATTTATACTATTTTTTTACTGATTTTATTTGCAGATTATGCTGCCAAAGTTTCATCAATACAATTGACCACTCTGTATATCAAGATATCCCCCATTACGTACTAGTTTTTCTTAATAACTTTTCTATACATTTTCCAACGCCAAGATGTACCAAGCGCATACAAATACATCAAACTTCAAAAAACAAAAAGCTTGCACGTTGACAATAATACCTACAGTAATATTGTATTATATTAATGTAAATATTTTTGAACCAATGTTCAATATTACTGTAGTAATACTGTTTATACTCATGCCTTTTATATTTGTTTGGTTTTTGGTGCATATTTCCATTGAATAAAGTATAGTTTACCATTACCATTATTATACTTACTCTATAATAAAGACAGTTGCTAACGAGCATTAAATAAATGTAGTTTTCATTTTATTCACTTCTAAAAGCTTGCTTTAATGGAACAGATTCCTGTTTTTCTAATTTACATAATAAGACATCACTTTTACTAAAAAAAAAAATTAAACAATTATAAAGTTTTTCTCTTTCTGTTCTATTATATCTATAGAATAGATCCTGTTTTGATTAATATTAGAGTTGTAAATGTTTGACTAAAATTAATATTTTATTAAATTAATAATTTATCATCAATTTCAAAAATTAAATAATTTCGATTATTAAAATTTCTTCTATAACACGTACTTTATTATTTTTATCGTTTTTTAGACTCTAAGACGTATTTTTTTCTAGTCCTAAACTTTGCTTTATATTAAACTATTTTCTTTATCCTAAATCTTAATAAAATAAATCCTAAGTTTAAATACGATATATTTTTAATTGAATTATAGCTTCATTCAAATTTATAAAAATATAGCCGCCTATGATATGGAGAGTGCAGGTGCACTGAAGAAACAAAAGACAGTGTTGCGTTGGGCGGCAGAGCCGTCCAGGAAACGACCGTTACGACGGTGACAGCCTATCTATCGCTCGTGTCGCACTCGTTCGAAACCAAAAACAATAACACAACAATAACAAGACGTTGTCTGTCCGCATCTTCCAGCTATTTATGAATGAGATGCCAGTCTATATTTTATTCTAAGTCTATGGTATACAAACTTTAACGATGGCAACTTCATTGGTGTATAAGACTTTTGCCTGGGCAGCGAGTATTAACCATAAACTGTGCTCTGGGTCTACAGTTAATTTTTCGCTCGAATTTTCCTCCACTCGACTTCAAAAGACACAATATATTTTTCCATATAAATGACAGCGATCTTCGTTTCCTTCATAGCCATCCCCTGATGCCGTTTTTTTTTCGCATCATATTGTATTTTATTTTAGAAATAAAACACACGTAATAATACGAATCAAAATGCATCATCTTCCAAAACGCAGGGTATTTAACAAAGTTGACACAAAATTATAACCTATAATTTGGAAATTTTACAAGCGTCAAAAATAACTAAAATCTAAAGGCGAGTTCATACGCATCGGCGTCAGTTTATCGTTCATCGTTCCGTCAAATATTCATAAATTGAAATACGATCTGTCATTTTTTAAATAAACCAATAAAACTGGTTAAAAACAATTAAGACACGACGCAGGACGGATTTTTTATTTAAACCCATCCATAGATAGTAGGGTTAAAATTATTA